GAGGAAATGGAAGCCCAGAGACTTTAAATAACTTGTTCAGGATAACACGACTGAAGTAAAAGATAGAGCCAGAATCGGAACTTGGGCTTTCTGGATCCAGATCTTATTCCCTAAACCAGTGGTCCCCAACTTTCTTGGCATCAGGGACTGGTTTTGTGGAAGAGAATTTTTCCGAAGGCTAGGGGTGAAGGTGGGGGGGGGGGTGTGGCTTCAGGATGATTCAAGCACATTACATTTATTGTGCACTTTATTTCTATTATTGTTACATTGTGATATATAATGAGATGATTATATAACTCACCATAATTTCTTTAACCACACATAATAGAGTTCCTGGTCCTAAGAGAATCTCATGCCGTGTCTGATCTGACAGGAGATGGAGCTCAGATAGTAATGCAAGCGATGAGGTGTGGCTGTAAATACAGACAAAGCTTCAATCGCTTGACTCCTCCTGTGCGGCCAGTTCCCAACAGGCCATGGATCGATATAGGTGGCCCTGGGGTTGGGGACCCTTGCTCTAAGCCGTGATGTTATCCTTGACTCCTGACTTCAGTCAGTGCTCATTGCTTAGTGAAGGGTCCGCAACTCCTCCCTTCACCCCTCAAATAGGAGCTACCTTGCTGTGAACATTGCACTAAGGGTCTGGCTTTTGTTCAAGATGTGGTTAGCTGGGCAACCTTGGGTGCTTGTCACTTCATTCTCTGAACGTCAATTTTATCCCCTATAACATTGGACAGGTGAAGGGGATGGACATTTTGATGAGGGAGCTGGACCATTTGGTGCTGACTCTTGGTGCTTACCAGCTGTGTAGCCTTGGAGAAGCCTTGCATGACCTCTCTGAGGTTGGCTTTCCATCTTTGAAAAGGGGATTATTAGTCCTACCTCATAGGGTGGTTGAGGAGAAAGGCCAGTTGTGGAAAATATGGGGTTCCATAACAATGATAAATGACAACTGTCATTCTAGAAAAGTCCCTGAGTCTGGAAGGGTTGGGAAAAAGGACCCACTTACCAAGAAAGCCTCTACTGGACTGTCTAAGGGCATGCTGCTGACTGTCTATGGAGAGAACTCTGCAGTGGCTTAAGATAAAAGGGGCCTAGTCTCACACTGGAAGGGTGGCTAATAATTGCACAAGCCACCATTGATTAAACCCCTCGTCTTCTAGATGCCTTACAAATATTCCCGCACCCAGCCTTGGCTCAGCCTAGTGGGGTAGCTATTACCAGCATGCCTCTGGCTAATTAAGTGAGTGGAAGTGGCAGAACTCAGCCTGGGCTTTCTCCCTTATCACCTTGCTCTGGTTATACTTAACTAATTTTTTTTTTAGTTGGAGTCTCACTCCCAACACCCAGGCTGGAGTGCAGTGGCAAATATGCTCAAAGTCACCCCAGTGTCGACCTGCTGGGCTCAGGCGATCCTTCTGCCTCAGACTTCCAAGTAGCTGGAACTACAGGCAAGTGCTACCATGCCCGACTAATTTTTTTATTTATTGTAGAGACGAGGTCTTACCACATTGCCCAGGCTGGTCTCAAACCCCTGGGCTCAGGCAATCTCACTTCGGCCTCCCAAAGTGCTGGAATTACAAGCTTGAGCCTGGCCTATATATAGGCTAATTTTTAAAACCCTGTGTGCAGTAGGGTCTTGCTCTTGCATTTAACATGAAAATACCCAAGTCACCAGTCAAATAGATTTTTTTTTCAATTATAAAATGAATACATACTCAATAAAAGAAAAATCTATAAAAATATAAAAAAATAAGTCACAAATTCACTACCCAGCATTCAGAGACAACCATGACTCATATTTTCTTCTAGTCTTTTTTCTTTGTTGGTTTTCTTATGTAACTGAGATCAGGCAATAGTAAATATGTTTTAAAAACTGAATGTTGGCCGGGCATGGTGGCTCAAGCCTATAATCCCAGCACTTTGGGAGGCCGAGGCAAGAGGATTGCCTGAGATCGGGGATTTCAGATCAGCCTGGGCAACTTGGTGAGACCTCGTCTCTACAATAAATAAAAATAATAATAAGCCAGGCATGGTAGTGAGCACCTGTAGTTCTAGCAATTTGGAAGGCTGAGGTGGAAGGATCACCAGAGCCAAACATGTCGAGGTGGTAGTGGCCATGAGCATGCCACGGCACTCCAGCCTGGGCAACGGAGTGAGACTCTAACTCTAAAAAAAAAAAAAAAAAAAAAAATCGAATGTCATTGAAATAATAAAATAAAATGACCTTGGATTGTAAGGACCTCAGAGTAGAAAGTCAGTATATTGAGATTAGTCTATTTCAGTGGGTCTCAACCGTGTGTGATTTTTACCCTCCAGAGGACATTCCCCAGTGTATAGAGACATTTTTGTCATTACAACTGAAGGGGGCTGGTGCTACTGGCATCTAGTGGCATCTAGTGGGACACCTCTGCATAGGACATACACAGGACAGCTTTCTGCAGCAAGAAATATCCAGCCCAAATGTCAATAGTGCCAGGATTAAGAAACCTGGTCGGCTAGGCTCAGTGGCTCAGCCTGTCATCCCAGCACTTTGGGAGGCCGAGGGGAGTGGATTGCCTGAGCCCGCGGGTTCGAGACCTGTCCGGGCAACTTGGCGAGACCTCATCTCTACAATAAATAAAAAATGAACCGGGCATGATAGCGCACCTGTAGTTCCAGCTACTTGGAAGGCTGAGGTAGAAGGATCGCTGGAGCCCAGCAGGTCAAGGCTGCGGTGGCCGGGAGCGGCCACTGCACTCCAGTCTGGGCGACAGAGTGAGACTCCAACTCAAAAAAAAAAAAAAAAGAAAGAAAGAAACCCTGGTCTATCTGATGCCCCTAAGTACAGTCGCTTTGTCAGTGTCGGATACGACAGTTGCATCCTGCTTGTCTCCATGGCAACAAACCAAAATGGGGAGGCTCCAGTCTAATTTAGTGAAAAGTCTGTGGCTCTGACTGCACCCTCGAGGAGTAGGACTTTGGCCCATCCCTCTCAGTGATGCTTTCTCGACCAGGCTTGGTCAGGGGTCAATCGTGAGTGGGAGGACCGGGAGGGAAGCTGGGGGTACCACTCCAACTGACCATTGCAGTCTGGGGCACGGTGTGTCAGATATTGGAGACATAGTGGAACTCAAGAAGAGGACACACACAGCCTCGCCAGAAGAGGGGTCCTGAGCCTATCCACACAGCCACTGGGGCATCATGGGAACTGGCCAGATCCCCACAAAGAGAGGGCCTTGAACTGGGACCCTCTACCCCTCGGCTCCACTATCTCCACCTCCTCCCATCCCGAGGGAGCCATGTCAGGAACTCACACCTGTAATCCCAGGACTTTGGGAGGCGGAGGCGAGAGGATCACCTGAGCCCAGGGGTTCCAAATCAGCCTGGGCAACTTGGTGAGACCTCGTCTCTACAATAAATCAAAAAAATTAGCCAGGCGTGGTGGTGCATGTCGGTGGTTCCAGCTACTTGGAAGGCTGAAGCGGAAGGATCACCTGAGCCCAGCAGGTTGAGGCTGCAGTGGTCTTGAGTGTGCCACTGCACTCCAGCATGGGCGACAGAGTGAGACTGAAAAAAAAAAAAAATCCAGGAGTGGTGGCTTATACCTATAATTCCAGCTACCTGGAAGGCTGAGGCGGAAGGATCACCTGAGCCCAGCAGGTCGAGACTGTGGTGGCCGTAAGTGTGTCACTGCAATCCGGGCTGGGTGACAGAGTGAGAGTCCAACTCAAAAAAAAAAAAGAAGTAGAATAGCAGAGACTTCACCCCATGTGTTAGTTCACTAGGGCTGCTGTAACTGAGTTCCACAACAGAGTGGCTTCGGCAACAGAAATTATTCTCTCGAATTCTGGAGGCTGGAAGTCTGAAATCAAGCTGTCGGCACTAGGGAAGGATTGTTTCCAAGCCTCACTCCTGGCTTCTGGTAGCTTCCTGGCTTGTGGCAGTATACTCTCACCCTCACATGGTGTTCTCCCTGGGTGTGTCTGTCTCCAAGTTCCCCTTTTATATAAGGACACCAGTCCAGTTGGATTAGGGTCACAACCTACTCCAATATGACCTCATCTAATTTTTTTTTTGTCTGAGTCTCACTCTGTCACCCAGGCTGGAGTGCAGTGGCAAGCTCATGGCCATTGCAGCCTCAACCTGCTGGACTCAGGCGATCCTTCCGCCTCAGCCTTCCAAGTAGCTGGAACCACAGGCATGTACCCCCACACCAGGCTAATTTTTTGATTTGTTGTAGAGACGAGGTCTCACCAAGTTGCCCAGGCTGGTCTTGAACCCCTGGGCTCAGGCAATTCTCTTACCTCTGCTTCCTAAAGTGCTGGGATTACAGGCATGAGCCACCACACCCTGCCTGATCTCATCTTGACTTAATTACTCACATGTGCTATGACCCTGTTTCCAAATAAGGTCACATTCTGAGGTACTTGGGTTAGGACTTCAACCTACAATTCTTTTTTTGGCAGGGGGACACAATTTAACCACAATGGACCCCATGTTTAGAAAGTATTTCAGTGTCTCTGGCCAAACAGGAGGCTCTGGATTATGCTAGTTGCTTGTGGCCACTCTTTGGTGTCAGTCTTTCCCGTGTAGATGTCTGTCTCCTGGATGGGGTCCCCTGACACTTTTAGTACCTGAAAAGAACAGGGACAAGGAAGCCATGCTTGACCAAAGGGGACTTAGGCAAGAGGACTTTTGTATCAAGGCTATGGCATGGGGCAGGGGGCTTAGCACAGGCAAGAATCCATTTGACCTAAACCAAAATGGAGAAAGAAATCAAAAAGAGGAGGGAGGTTGGGGATTGGGATATGAGGTGAAATGAGGGCGAAAAAGGACAGTTGTGTCCTGGCACATTCTGCAACAGAATCCTGTGGGCTCGGGAAGACATGTTTACACACATATTGATGAAATCGGTTGGGGTTTCCCAAAGTGGATTCTGTGGAATATCAGTTCTGTGGGATAGTAAATAGATATTACCTGAAGAGAGGGTTCCATGGCAAAATAAGATTGGGGAGTTATTTTTTTTTTTTTTTGCATTATGAGTTTTAATTGGAAACATTAAAACAGTTAAGCAACTCATAATGAATTACAAAACTTTGATAGTTAAATTGTGCAACTCTGATTGTTAAATTGTACTATCATTTATGAGGCAGTTGTTCATTATCTATACCTGAAAGAAACTGAATACTCATATTTTCTGTTCCCCATTTCAGAGCAAGATTATGACGAGAGGGTCTAAACTGTAAGTCAAAACCCAATTGGGTTAGAAATGAAGTGAACCTAAATCTATACGCAGCTGTGCCATAAGAGCATATGTGGTTTTAGCTCATATTTTAATGAAAGCAGTCTAACTCAGCTCACAGGAAACAAAAGCAGATGCTGAATCATGAAAACCTCAATTAATTATTTTTAGCATGCCTCTTAATTTTTCTTTTCCCTGGCTTCTTGTCTTCTGTGCTTGAGTCTTGAACGGGTAACCACTTGAGAGGATGTCGGCAATAGATGGGCCATGGAGGAAGTGTCAGCAAACATGAAAAAGCAAATCTGGCCATAACTGTGTAGACAGTCCACCCGAATTGTTCAGCCACGTACCCGTAGATAAATCCAACTATCACAGAAAAAAGAATAATTCCCTGAAACATCTGTTCAGCCAGCTTCTGGCCCTTGTAATCCATCTGTGTGGGCAGCGAACTCAGATGCTCCAGCATGGCAGGCTGCGGAGCGAGGGCGATCAAGACTCAGGGACCATAGCGGCCAGGGGCAGACACTGTGTGTCGCTCGACCGCCCCGCCAAGCCCAGGAGTCGATTTTTTTTTTTTTTGAGTTGGAGTCTCACTCTGTCGCCCAGACTGGAGTGCAGTGGCCGCTCCCGGCCACCGCAGCCTTGACCTGCTGGGCTCCGGCGATC